TCGATATCCACGCTGTAATCATATAAAAACTTTATGCAATTATCAAAGACCAAGTTTTAAATTACTGGTAGTTGCATTTTGAAGGAGTGGCCATTTTGCCGAATGTGACCCCGAATATGAAAATTGTGCAAAAGTGGGAGGTGGTCGCTTGACAGGGCATGGGCGCTAATGCCACGGTCGAGTACGGTAAATGTCAACAAAATACGGGATTGGCTTATACCGAGGGAGGGGCTTATGACTGTGGAAGTATCATAATGGTATTTGAGTATTGACTAAAAACAATAATTTCACTGTATTAAATTTGTTCTTGTCTAGGAATTGGAAAGTAAAATTAGTGATTTAACAACCAAGTATGAAGACATTGAAACTGAAAAGAACAAATTGGAAGAGCAATACAACGTTATGGTCAAGAAAAACCAGGTAATCGCTCGTGAATTGATTATTTCTGACTTGGTAATGTTTTATATTGCATGTTTTGTGGTAGAATTGTCTGTAATCATGACAACTTGTAGTGTATACATGGGTTGTATTGTAGAAATAGTGATGGGTGATAGTCATAATGCCTAAAAGTTTGGATATATGAGGGTTTTGTGTCCTGGTGTATATATGGGGGTTTTGTGTCCTGGTGTATATATTGGGGTTTTGTGTCCAGGTGTATATATGGGGGTTTTGTGTCCTGGTGTATATATGGGGGTTTTGTGTCCAGGTGTATATATAGAGGTTTTGTGTCCTGGTGTATATATAGGGGTTTTGTGTCCAGGTGTATATATGGTGGTTTTGTGTCCAGGTGTGTATATAGGGGTTTTGTGTCCAGGTGTTGTTGGTATTAAGGTGCTCTTATCCTTTCCTTTCATGGTTGCTAGGATATTATGGAACAATTGGAATGCATGCAGATGAAGCAAGAAACCATGACGACCACATTCCAGTGTGTACAAGAGGAGTGTCACAGTCTAAAAGAAGCCAACAAAGTAGGCATTTTGAATGCTTTTGTGTTGCTTTCAGGCATGCACTAAAGGTTCCATTCAAATTATGTGAAATGAAATCACATATTTATGGAACAAATTGTTTATCATGCATAATTGAATTATCTAAAAAAAATGTTTGCATTCAACTTTTGTACACCATTTAATGCAGTTAATTTAAAATTCATATTCACTGGATATTACCTCTTGGATTTGATTCATATTTGTCCATGATTTAATTGGGTTCCTCAGCTTTTGCAATCTTTTTAGTATATTGTCATCCAATAGATATTTGCAGATTTCTCGCTCCGTACCATTACATCAACAGTCCATAAACACCCTTGTGTACATTGAACTAAACTACTGTTACTATGAAATAGCACATACCGACTGTTACAATGAGTTAGGGCATAGCGATTGTTACTATGAGTTACCACATAGCAACTGTTACTATGAGTTACCACTTAGCAATTGTTACTATGAGTTACCACATAGTGATTGTTACTATGAGTTACCACATAGCGATTGTTACTATGAGTCATCACATAGTGATTGTTACTATGAGCTATTTGGTTATTATTCATCACATGAGGTTCTTTTTTTCTCCATTTAGGAGCTAGAAGAACAAGTTGAAGTTCTGTCAACAGCAAGAGATGAAACTGTGAAATCTTTGAAAGCAATGAGGCAAGAACAACAAGGTACAGGTGCCGAGATGCAAAGCCAGATAGAAGCCTTGACAGTGGAAAAAGATTTAGCAAAATCGGAATTACAGCAGGCAATTGATAAGATATGTAACCTTCAGGGTCTTGCAGAAGAGGCAGAGTCTTACAAAAATCAGTTGCAAGAATCTTCCAAGAAATTAGAAGAATCTATGGAGGAGAACGAGGAATTGAAAATGAATGTTGATGAGTTAGTGAAAATTAGAAGCGAGTTTGAGATTACAAAAGATGGATATTCAAAGAAGGATGCGGAGAATGCTGAGTTGAAATCTAAGATAATAAAACATCAAGAAAATGAAGAAGGTCTTAAGGGACTTAATGAGGATCTGAAGACACAGATAAATCACTTGTCATCAGAGTTGGAAAACATGAAGAAAGATTGTGATAAACATAAAACAGAATTCTCTGAGATGAAGACAAAGCTAAATCAAACTTTAGAGCAAAATGATACTGCTTTATCACAGATTGAAGAAATGAGAAATGAGAATAAGAAGCTTTCTGATGACTTTGAAATACTGAAGTCTGAGAAAAGTAACTTGGAAAAGGAGAAGCATGAATTGAAAAATAATTTTGATTGTTTGGTGTCAGAGAAAGAAAGATTGACTACTCGATTAGATGAAATACAGCATGATCAGCAAAAATCTAGCAGCGAGATAGACGAGGAATTAAACAAAGCAAGAACAGATCGAGATGATTTGAAAGCAAAGAACGACCATCTAGAGTGTGAAAAGATGGAGTTGTCTAAAATACTGGAGACTTTAAAGGCAGAGAGTGAAAGATCTGTGAGTGAGCTCAAAAGTGACATTGATGAATTACAAATTGAAAAAAACAACCTGATTGGAGAAATTGAAAAACTAAATAAAGATTTGAAGGAACTGCAAGAAAATAATGAAAAGCTTGTCAGTGAGTTAAAAGTAGAACTAGATCAGGTACAATCAGAAAAAAATATTCTAAATGATGAACGAAATAAGTTTGAGAAAGATTTGCATAGTTTGCATGAAGGCAATGATAGGGAAAGTTGTGAGTTACAAGAGAAACTGAGACTCATTGAGGAAGACAGGGATAATCTGAAGGGAAATTGTGAATCACTCTATACTGAAAAAGAAAAACTTGAACATGATTTGGAATTAATTATGAAAGAAAGGGAGGACTTATCTGGTGATTTACAAAGTGAGCTGAGTGATGTTAAATTTGAACGAGATGAATTAGCAGTGAAGGTGGAGTCATTAACAACAGAACGAGAGAAATGGACTGGTGAAATGAATCTAGTTAGTACGAAATTGGAAGAGTCTGTTAACAACCTGCAGGAACAGATTAGAAATGTTAGCGATGAGAGAGATCAATTGAAACAACGAGTCAGTTCTCTGATTGAAGAAAAAGACAGATATACTACAGAAATGGAAACTGCAAATAAAAACATGGAAGAATCAATGTCTGGACTTCATGATGAAGTGCAGAAATTCAACATAGAGAGAGATACGTTGCAGTCTCAGATAAAAATATTGAAAGACGAAAACCAAAAATTATCAGACAATTTAGAGCATTTGAAGAAGGATCATGCAAGTTCAGCAAGTGACCTACAGATTGAACTGACAAGTGTTAGAAATGAACTTGGAGAAGTGCAGGAAAAATTTGAGAAAACTGACAGAGAACTCCAAAGTGCAAAGAAGCAGTTAGCTGTGAGTGAGGATGAAAAAAATGCAGCTAAATTAGAGTTGGAAAATGCAGTGGCTTCTATAAGTGGAGAAAGAGATCAATTCAAATCTAAAGTAGAAAAGCTTGAAAGCGAAGTCGATTCTTTGACAAAGCAATATCAGGATGCCTTGGGAACCAATGCAACACTTACAGAGAAATTGGAGAAAAGTGTTAATGAACAAACTGAAGTCAAAGGTCAGCTAAAAAGTCTGCAGGAACAAGTGAAATCAGTTAGCAATGATAATGAAAATTTGAAACATGATATTGAAACACTGAAAGAAGAAAAGGAGAAGGTCATATCTGAGTGTGGGCTGAAAATAGACAATTTGAAACAGGAAGTGAGTAATTTAGAGGTGCAGAAAGAAAAAATGTCTACTGAATTGAGTATGCTGAAGGAGCAGAGTGAAAATACAACCGGGAAAACTCAAAATTTAATAGAGGATCTTTCCAGTGTGAAATCAGAAAATGATCAGCTACAGAAACTGAAATGCTGTCTGGAAGAACGGCTGCAGGAAACTGCCAGTCAGCAGAAAAACTTAGAGTCAGAGTTGAAATCTATGAAAGAAATGAATAATAAACTTGAGTCTGATATGGAAATCAATAAAGAACACTTGAATAGAAGGGAGGAAATCAATACAGAATTAATGAAGCAACTGGAGGAAAGAAATGACAAACTTGAGCAATCATCAACATTACAAGATGAGATAAAAGATCTTAAGATACAATTAGATAGTGCAATTGAGGAGAAAAATGGTCTTCAGAAAGAGTTGGAAATCATGAGAGATGAACGTAAGAAAACAGAAGAACATGTTCAGCAATTAGCCACAGAACAAGGAGACAAAGGAGATGTTGAAAAAGAGTTGAGTAAGTATGTCAGCAGATTTGTTACAAATTTCATGTCCTGTAGTGATGTTTATTTTGATACAGTCATTGTAAAATGTAGTTACGATGTTTTGATTTCAAGTTTTGTTTGTTTTCTTCTAACTGCAACAGAAATGGTTAACAGCAAATTACAGGAAGTTGAAGACAAATCACTAAAGTTTAGAGCTGTTGCCGTGAAAGCCAAGAAAGAATTGGGTGAAGCTAAGAAGCAGGTACAGTGTATATTCTGGTATATGTTGTTTAATAATGTGTTTTCCCAGGTAGCCGTATCATAACAGTGTACACTGTTTATTTCCAACTGTAACTTGTTGGTAACTTGGAATATTCCTCTAACTCCTGTCTGTAAATGACATACTGGGTACTAAGTATATTGGTAGATTGGAATAAGTGATTGCTACCTTGCTGTATTTTCACTGCAACTGAAAAACTCTAAGCAACCACTTGACTTCCTTGCAGTAGTACTGTTTAGGCAGTGAATATACTTTGGGTAAGGCTTTAATTGTTGTGCTGTGTTAGTAATTTTGGTATACATACTGAATATATGTATAATATAGAAATACAATAAAATGGCCAAGTACAAATCTTGAAATGTGACTTACTGCATGTAGACCTCTAGGGTTATAGACATACATGGATTGCAATTATCACAATTTCATAAACTAACCCTAGATTAAACACTTTATAAAGACATTATAAAACACACCACACAGTACCATACAGCTCAGTAATGGATGTGGTGACATCCCCATTATACATGAAAAATTATTACGCGGGGTTATATTTCATTTCAACAGATAGCAACTTTAACTGAAGAGATGTCATCATTGATTTCTGAAAAAGACAAGTTACAGATGAAACTGGATAATACATTGAAGGAGAGTGATGGAAACAGACAGCAGCAAATTGAAAGCTATCAGGTATGTTTCAATGATATCTGATTGTTTTGGTCATCTTTTATTCACAATGTATGACTGACCTTGCCGTAATATGACAGAACCCACACTATGAAAGGTATTTTTTATCTATCAGTGACCATTTTAGCAATGGAGTACACCAAACTCTAGCATTTTTACAATTCTAGAATCAGCTCTTGGGCATGCATAGCTGCGTCTGCTTTGGATGCAAAATTGCTGACTGGTGGCCATCTAGTTGTTTAAATATGACTCTTATCAAGCACTTCTTAATTGTGAACCTTACTGTTCCATATCTATCATAAAAAAAATTACTGGTTGATACAAAGGCAATCTTTATGGCTGAATATTGCCTGTATTCATGTCAGCTAGTCTTACTGCTTTAAACTTTAAATCAAATTTAGCATATTGACAATAGTTTATGGCAGAATATTGCCTGTATTCATGTCAGCTAGTCTTACTGCTTTAAACTTCAAATCAAATTTAGTATATTGACAATAGATGTATTCATAACCATGTTTTGTTTGGTATCCCTTTATAGATACAATATGACAAATTACTTGATGACATCGATGACCAGAAAGCAGCAAGAAAAGCAGTGGAAAAACAATTGCAAGAAGCCAATAATGAAGTCAAGGTAATTGTTTTGATAATTTCATCTGTCATTCACTTCACATGCAGACATATAACTAATTAGAAGTTCTTAGTTCTAACCAGTTGAGTTCATTTAAGATAAAATTTATAATTATTTCTGGTTATTTAAATGATAATTGAGAAACAAGCAGATTAATATTTTTTGATGACCACATTGTTTCCTTGCCTGAAATTGGGGACATATCCATACCAAAATCTCTGACATGCCTTAACTGATCATGTTCAATTTTCACACAAACATGTCACATATATGCACATGCTTTCGTGATCAAATTTCATTTTAGTGCTGATATTTATTAAAAGTTGAGAATGTCTGCCATTCTCGAACATAATTTCTATCATTTTATTGTCTGATACACTATTCAGTTATCACTTTACAATTAAATTATCAGTTTATGGTTGTTTTATTTATACATCATTTTCTCTTTATAGTTCACTAGCAGTTAAAGGCAAGGTGTTCAATAGTTTAACTATGTTTTTCCATCAAAATTCTATAAGTCTATTTGCTCAACATTTAATCTGGGGCCTTTAACCCTTCTGCTATTGATTGCCAGTGTTAATATTGCCAACTGGTAGCAATTTTGTTACAAATGCAATTTCCGAATTCATATAAGGTATACATACAAGTTCAAACTTCATACATACATCAGACATCATATCTGACAAACACACATGCATTTTTGTCACCATCAAATCCAAAATGGCTGACTGGCGGTCATCTTGTTTAAACAATTTCAGTTCCATGGAGTCGTATCTCAAACGTGCTCGAACTAATCAAGTGAAAACTTCACATGTACATAACATATTACGTTATACATCTTGCATTTACCGGGTACATGTATAATACAGATGGGAACCATCCATTGACAATGACTTTTTTCTTATATGCTAGCGTCTCACGGAAGAGTGTGCCAGTGTCAAACAGGCCAAGGAAGACCAAAACAACCATTGTGAGGAACTTGAGAAACTTAAAGACCAACTACAGCTATATATAAGTGAACAAGAAAAAGAAAAGAGTGGCATTGAAAGGGAGAGAGATGTAGAAAAGATACAAAAAGAACAGATAATAGAAGAAGTATCAGAGGTACCTTGAAAAAAATAGCATCAAATCTGTCATTTCAGTCTGATATCTCTATTTTTTTTTTTTCACTATTTGGATAATTTTACTACTTTGGATATAATAATTATGTTTTCAATGACAAGTTTCTAATGTAAGTAAAACTAAACTTTGTGTGATCTTCTCAGCTGAAAAGCAAGATTAGTGACCTGGAAGATCAGCTGGCTAAACAGACAGAAGAATACCAACGTGCAACACAGAGGTTAGAAGAAGCCAAAAAGGTAGAAAATCTTCATAGTTGTGAAGACAGATCAGCTTAGAATTTCTATTGTGTTGTTTTCTATATGCTGTTACATTCACATGTAATATATATTTCATGTGTACAGATTTGGTCAATTCTCATGAACAGTTTATTATGTCTTGTACATTTTACTTCTAAATTTGTCTTTTTGTGATAATTTTTCACAATTCTACTCGTCTGCTTTTGTCCATACTGAGGTTATTTATTAATGGTGAAAATTAATTTGTTTCATATATCATGTTTAATTGAAAGTGCATGTAATAATGTGTTTGTACTACATTCTCACACCATCCAGGAAGCCTCCCATAGCAGTCTAATGAATTTAGAAATAGCTGACTATGAGCGTACTGTGTCTAGTTTAAATGCTGTAATCACAGAGAATGAAACCAAGATGTCAGAAAGTGCTGAAGAATTAGAACGACTAGAGAAGATCAATGACAATTTACAAAAACAACTTGAAATGAAGGAGACTCAGAGACAGCAAGCTGATGAAAGGAGTACTAAGCTTAAACAGTTATTGGTTAAAACAAAGAAAGATCTAGCAGATTCTAAGAAAGCTGTGAGTAAAGATTTATTATTTATTTATTCTTTTAAAAAGAGTAAGCTATGACGATGCACAAACATATGTCAGCATCACTAAGTGTAATGTATTCTTTATTTACTGTTGTGTTTTGATTTGAATCTTGATTGAAATTAACAAATAGTAATTTATTATACATTGTATTAATAAACATAGCAAATAATTTTTTTGTATTTTGTTGAGTGACTAGAGGGGACGCAATCTTTAGGTTCAAGTTAAAAGTTTATGCTTTCCTACTCTACCCTGAACTCTTGATAAATTGTATTTGTATATAGGAGAGTGAACAGAAGAGTAGTGATGCTGCATTACGTGGACAGTTAGAGTACCTGACGCAACAATGCGAAGAATTAAAGGTGCAAATTGCAGACATCATGTCACAAAACCAAAAAATGAAAGACCAGGTAATCTTCATTTATCTTATTACATGCAGCTTACTGTTAATATAATATGTGGCTTATACTATGAGGTTATTATGAGGATACCTCAAAGTATGTACGAAAACAGTACAGCGAGAGTGTCGACCAATGCGCAGCAGAGGTCGATGCAACTGCCTACTGTCTGAGTGCATACTTTGAGGATCCTCGTAATAACCTTTTATTTATACATC